TTAAACTTCGCCTTTCTTTTGTTGTAAGCGGAATTCTTTCATAGAAGTTGAAGTTTTCTGTAAAGGGATTCCTAATTAGCCCCTGGAGAAGCTTGTCCCCAGACTAGGACTCTTTCTTCTTTGACACTGGATAGACTGTTTGCAGTTGCCATTTACAGTGGGTGCTTCTTTGTCGTGGGCCTTAACTGTGTTTATCCAGTGGGTGTAGCTCGTGTAAGTCATTTGGGTAGAGGAATAGGAAAATGCAGCAGTTACTAAATTATAAATGAGGTGGACAGGAAATTTCCAGAAATCTGTTCTGGGTGGCCCACTCCGACCATTTTCAGGCCATGTTTCTCTGTCCCTGATGTCTTCCTTACGACCAGCTCAAATCTGAACGTCATTCATTTGTTCATTATGTATTGTGTGTTTGCCACGAGGCAGGCATTATGCGACTCTCTAGAGATATAAAGCGACTCAGTCTTTTTCCTCAGTGGCTCCCTATCTAACAGGGGAGACATAGGAATTTTACAACATGCTAACACCGGATGAGTGCTCTAGTAGAGATGCCATTAGGTGGAGGATGCTTGGAAGACAGGATGCCTAATTCTGGGCTGATCAGGGAAGGCTTCCTCGGGAGGCGCTGCTTGAGTGGAGGCCTCAGGGCCCCTAGGTTGTGAATGTGGGTTGGGGACAGTGTAGAGCATGCAGATGTACAGAGACGGGGAGGCCACAGATACAGATGATAGCAACCAGCCATGTTTTTCTGCTTAAGTATATTTTGAACTTCCTTGGCCTGCTGGAAATTCTCCTAAAATAAGTTAACTGTAAATGGCAGTAACTGGCTCTCAGGTGTATCTCAGTGTTCTATTGACAAGGCACCCAAGTACATTACAGCTGGAGGAGGTGTTCCTGCTGCAGTTCAACTGGTTATGCTCTGTGTGTTGTTAGCTGTCTGGCCCTGCATCCAAGTTGCTTCTGACAGATCATTATTGCAAAAGCAGCCCCAGGCCCCACAGCCCGAGCCAGGTTCACGTTCCTGCAGGATTGTAGGGAAGCCAGGGAGTATTTTCTCTGCTTGCATCCGATTTGAATTACAAGTTTATGTTTATTACAGGCTTCTCTTCCAAGTGGCTGCCAGTGGAGGCGGCAGTGGCCGGATGTGGCGAGTCAGAGAAGCCGGAACAGTGCCAGGCCCACTTCATTGATTCGGTTGCAGCTGTGACTATTACATGTGTGGATTTTGTAAAATGAGAGGGTGGAGAACAATTAAAAAGTTTTTCTTTTCTAAAAATGTAAATATTGAACTATTGAACTGTTTACTGCCTCCCCCCCTTAAATCAGTTTTCTGGTTTATTTGTTGAAATAACAGAATTTAGACATTTTAGGGCCATTTCTATTTTTTAATATTTTTAAATCACTTGGACACAGATCTCAACTTTGACCCCACACCTAACCAATTTTAAATCATTCTGTATCTAATTTTTGTTACTGGCCATACTTCGTTTTATGACAATTTTTACATTTTTTTAAAAATTGCCATATTCCAGCAGGTACTTTCTGAAGGCTAGATGTCTTTATTCGTATAGTGATCCCTCTGTTCACATTAATAATTTACTGAGCACCCATTTGGTACACTCTCATAGTTTTTGTTCAAATGTATATGCTCAGGTGGGTCTGGCAGACGTCTCTGGCCCATCCCACCCACACGTGCAGGCTGCATGGGACTAAATCCCCTCTGTTTGCAACTCTGACAATGGTGACTGTAGTGGCTGCAGGGTTGTTGTGAGGATTTAATGGCAGTGTTAATAACAACGTTAATATATGATTATATATAACAGCGTGTTCGTTAAAGCACTTCCTATATTCTAGGCTCCGTGCTGAGTGCTTTATGTGTGGCCCCTTATTTCATTCTCCCCCAAACCCAGTGAAGTAGATGCTGTTGTCCTCTTGTCTCACACTGAGGAAGCTGAGGCACTAAAGAGGTCACGGTACTTGCGGAGGGTTAAAAGCTCCTAATTGGCAATCAGTCGCTGTGCTTTAGTTTACCTTTACTGCATGTGTCACACCTAGTTGACATCTACCCCATGACCTCCCTTTACATCTGCTGGCGGGACAGACCGCTCAGCCTCCCTTGTCACAGGACAAGCCTGTAAGCACTCAGAAGAGAGCAGCTTTAAAATCCTTGACTGAGTCTAGGACGGGGAAAGCATTGTCTCTCCCAGAGGGCAGGTGAACCCGGCTCTCCTTGAGCTCCCCAGCGTGCCTGTCGCATTTTTGTTGACCAGCGCCTCTGTGCTGAACTGCTTCTCGGTGGGCAGTGTTTAGAGACAATCAGGTATATTTTGGCCACAAGCCGGTTGAGAAATGATTTTTTTCTGTAACAGAAGAATCTGTTTTAGCCTGAGCCACATATGTATGTGGTTTTATAACCCTGATGTTTTCTGTTTTTAATATGTGTGTATGATTCTACTGGGTGATTTGTCTTCACAATACTTCATGTACTTGTAGACAATAATGATTTTTCCCCACCACCTTTAGTCAGCCGTTAGCTAAACTAAGTAAATGTTGGGTTCTTTTCATCTGTCTTTAAGGAGCGGAAGGCTCTGGGATGCAGTCATTTTTGTAGTGGTTTCTGTGGTTCCCTAGGTGCTGGGCTCTGAGGACAGCACAATGCTGGTGTGTTTTAGGAGGGAGGGAATGGGAAGGAGGAAGGTGAAACCTTGTTGATGCGGAGTGATGTGTTGGGAAATTTAACAGCTACAGAGATTTACTGGCTGAGTCTGAGTTTATTATGTGATTTTTAATATGTAAAATATTTAATGACCTTTTTGTGTCAGTCTCCTAAAACCAGTATCTTCGGGTATTTTTCCTGTAGAAAACCATCTTTGAGTGTTCACAAAATGATGTATTTTTAAGTGATCTTTGTTTTTGCCCTTCTTCTGGGTTTCCTGTCACCTCCAGATTTGCTGAGAAGAAGTCGTCTTTGTTGTGCGGATCTGTTTGGTTCTGAATTCTAGTAGTCAGAATTTGGATTCTTCCTGAATTTCAGATAGCCAATAGCAAGAATTCAGTTTTATACATCAGGGAAATGTATATTCATTCTTTTTGGTTTCTGAGTTCCAATAGTAGGGGATAGCTGTATTTTTCAGCCTTGGCGCTATTGACATTCGAGGCTGGATAATTCTTTGGAGGGGGGATGACTGTTTTATGCATTGTAGGATGTTTAGCAGTACCCTGACCTCTACTCACTAGAGGTCGGTAGCATGTCCTCCTCCCTCCGAAAATGTGACAACCAAAAATATGTCCAGACATTGTCAAATGTCCTGTTTTGGGGAGGGGGTGAGGGTGTCAGAGTTGCCCTAGTCGAGAACCACTTGTTTAAACCAGAAACTCAGAACATTAGCAAAGACTGTTGTAGCCACCTAGAGGTACTGCATTTCATCAATTGCACGGAGATAACATTCAAGGAAGAAAAATAATAACAGAGAGGAAGAGATTGTCATTAGAAGTACAGAAAGATCATTACAATTTTTATGTAAAAAAAAATTATGTACAAAAAGTCTTATGTTTGTATGGTAGCTATTCCCCGTAGACTTGGCCATATCCTGCCTCTTCATTTCTGTTCTGCTCTGGAAATTATCAGCAGGGCTTCAGTGATCTTACAGGTTCTCTTCCTACCCTGGGATACAATTTCAGAACATCAACTAGTTCTTCCTTATCAATTACAATTAAGTCTCGACTCTTTTTTGTTTGTTTTTGTTTTGTTACTTTGAAGAGTTGAAATTTCCAACAAAGCAAGAATTTATTAGACATCTGCTTCAAGGTCCTCGAGAAGCTAACTGGATGGTGCTGCTTGTGACACTTCTGTTTTACCTCGGTGCTGGTTTTGTAGTTGGTACTGGAAAACATACCATAGCTCCCACCGGGTGGTGTGTGGTTTATTTCTGCAATATTACCCTTTCATTTTCTCCTTCGCTTTCCCTTAGATATTTCATTATTCTTGCATAGCCAGTTCCAGGTAGATGCCTTATTATACATGTTGCTGCTCTCATTCCACTCCTCGGAGCTTTTTATTTTGAAGGCATTTATCTGTATTGCTTTATTCCATTTCCACCATTTAGTGAGATTCAGAGTGTCAGTTGCATGCGTGCTGAAAGAGAGTCGTCTTTTTATTTTGAAAGTGAATAGAATGAGGCTGTTGACCTTTGTGATTTTTTTTTTTTTTTTTGATCATGATACCAGTGTCCATTATAACTATATGAACGCAAAATAACTGGTTAAATGGCTGCACTTTCTTAACGATCTTGGCTTATTGCTCAGTCTTTCAGATCTGTAGAGTACTGGTATTTCTTTTGTTAAAAATACATGGCGTCACTTTTCTGAAATATAAATGTTCCATCTTATTTTATATCTGAAAAGCATCATCTTTTCTAAATTCATAACTTAGACCTTGTTCACTGAACACATTTTTTTTTAAGTGGTATAATTATTACGTTTATATTGTGGATCCCTCCCCCATTAACTAGTGAGTGTGTGAATCTGATCTATAGCAGTTTTGACCAAAATACTATGCTATTTTATGCTATGACTGTCATATCTTTGGCATGGAAATGGTAATTATAAATAAAACCTATGTTTTGTTGTACTTTATTGCCCATTTTGGAGATATTTAGTTATATTAAGATACTCACTGAATCATCTCTAGAACTCAGTTCATGTACCTTAGGAACTGGCAGAGAAATTTTCCCTTAGGGTACGCCAGAGGAGAAGCAAGTAGCTTTGATAATGAAATGAGGCCTTAAAGAAATACATCTAGAGCAGCTGTAATGATTCAAATAAGAATTGAATTGAAAAGGAAGGAAAGAATTGTTTTTCTTCTTTGAATATCAGTGTTTTGGTTAATGATGGCAGCAGAAACCTGAGACATTCTGTTTTGCCTATTTTTTCTTTACATTATCTATAACTATGTGTTTTAATCTTTTTGTAACCAAAATATTGAAATATTAATTTTCACATAGGAGATGGAATAAACTGAGACTGCGAGACCAAGAGAAGTGTCTAAAGCTGGAGGACAATTCCGAGGACAGCGATGCTGAATTTGACGAAGGTTTTAAAGTGCCAGGTTTCCTGTTCAGAAAGCTCTTTAAGTATGTATCATGTGCTGGGTCCTTTGTATTCATCATCAAGCCATTATGTACAAATTAATATTTTAAGACTTACACTGTAGTTACCTATGGGCCTTAAGGTACTTGCAGCAATTTATTGCAAATATAGACACTGTCAAATGACATTTTAGCCACATGCTGTTCATTAAAATTAGATGATAATAAATTGACTAAAGTGCATATTGGGTATGTTTGCAAACTGATGAATCTATATGGGCCTATTTCAGCTGACTAAGAACAACACATTTAAAAGCCATCTATGTTAAATTTTGTTGTTGTTGTTCTTAGTAATTTTAAGGGACCAATCTCTAATTCCTTAAGTCAGATTAATTTAATAGGTCAGTTTAATATTAAAATCAATGGGTGGGTGCTTTTTACTTCTACATGGAAATAAAAAATATTGAGATTATTTTCTAATTGTTTTATAGTGTACCTAAGGGTATAATACTTTTGAGCAGACCCAATGTGTATCTAAATATTTTATGTAGATGTTCTGATGTCAAAAGAGGAGGATACATAGTCAAACACCTTCAGGATTAAGTTGCTGTTTGATTGAAACTAAGTTTCAATTGTCAAGTGGCAAGTGTAGTGTAAACGAGATGCTGTCTGATAGATGGTGTGCTCCTGTGTGTGGCCTGAGGAGTCTCTGATGCTGCGTGTAAGCACTGAGGAGCATTTTCAGTCTCGTCACCCCTGGGATTTACTTAACAAGATGCTCTAGGAAGCCTTCTTAGATGTGTATAGGAAGTTAAACCATTAAGCAGCTTCTTTCTGCCTCCTTTGTATCATCAGTTGGTAGTTGAGAGCAGGATCCAAGCTTCTTTCTCTTGAGCTTCATCTGTCGGCCATGCCCTAAACTGGTGCAAGATGTCTACTTAAAAATAGCATGCTATTGTACTTCCTCTCAAAGAGCTTATCTTATAGTTTTAATTGTTCTATCTGGGGGACAAGGAGGTGCCGAAGGATAGCTGTTTTATCCCTCTAAGCATACAGGAGAGTTGAATCCTTAAGATGGGAAGTGACTTGGTTGGGTTGCTATAACAAGGCAGATAATCAAAACAAAACCCAAACCCGTTGCCGTCGAGTTGATTCCGACCCATAGTGACCCTAGAGGACAGAGTAGAACTGCCCCATAGAACTCTACAGGACTATAGGTCTGTAGAACTCCAGGGAGTGGCTGGTGAATTTGAACTGCTGACCTTTTGGTTAGCAGCCGTATCACTTCACCAGTGCATCACCAGGGCTCCAACAAGGCAGAAGAGCTGTCTAAAAGTTCAAATTTGAATCGCAGTGCTAGTTTTTGCAGACCAATGGTTTTATCGCCCTGAGAGGTGGTTACTTTGTTTGTTGCTTCTCCCAAATGAAAAGTAACTATGAAAGGTAATTTATTGACAACTCTTTTCATCATCTCTAAAGTGATAGCTTATTAAGGAACGGTCCAAACAGTATTAGCGTTGTACTAGCAAAAGGAATACCCAGATTATAGATTAAATTGATTTAACAAAGACAAGATACTTCTGCGTTTGTAGTAAGTGATTTCACAGATACCCTCAAGAGTCAAGTCGAATGTGTATTTTTGTTTAAATGTCAGATTTTCTAGCGTGAGACATTCATAGTTAATAGAACCACTATGCTTACTAAAAGTAGATGGGATTCAGCGTATTAACCCTCTAGTAGTTAATACAGATACATGTTTTTTTTAAATTAGTCTTCATTGCACTTTCCTGGAAACCATTTTGTTGTTTTCATCTCTATAAAAACAGTATTTTAAATATTTATAAATGTTATAAAACTTCTATTTCTTTTCTTCTGTCATATCAAAAAACTAATATGATTGTTAGAGTCTACATTTCTCCTGTGATTAGGTTTTAGCTACGCCAATTTAATTTTAAACTATAGATGTATTTTTACTGTATTTACCACACTCTGTGGAATTAAATTAACAGGGTATAGTTGTACTCAAGGGAGACAGAAGGTACAATTATCCATTTAAGTGCTATTTTCTGCAAGATAATGTTTAACTTCTAAATCCTGTTTTGAAAGTTTGCCCAGCAAACACATTCATCTGCATAATTAAGCAATCAGATGACAGACTTCAGTCTTTCGACCTTACTTTCAGCCACAGTAGCAAATGCAGCCTTGGGTTAATGTCACAGTGCCACTGTGGCTGTTCGGTGGTATTTCCATCTGATGGGGATAGCAGAGTACAGTAATTTTTTTTATCATTATACAATAATTTGTAAAAGTCTGGCTTTCTAAAGAGTGATTTTTTTAATCTACTTCTCAAAGTTTCTGAAAACTAGATTCTAAAACCTACTTTAGTTTAAACTATCTGTTTGTTGTATTGTGTTTGTTATTAGGAAATTAAAGTGGTGAAATCAGTCCGTCAGTGGCACTGCTGGAGCCAGACCTCAGACTCCCCACCTGTTCCCCTAGAGACGCACACCTACCGGTGTGTCTGGCGACTTCTAGTGTGCAAGTGAATTTCTTTAAACTGCAGTCTGAGGGCCTTCACTGTTATGGGTGGGAAGAAGGGGCCGCTCTTGCCCGTGTTTGTGCAGTATCCCTAGTTGTTGGGGATTTCCGTTTAGTGAGGTGACTTACAGCTACCTAGTAGTTTAAGTCATTTCTTTAGTGCTAATCATCCTCTTGTAAATACACAACTATGTGCTGTTTGAAAGTCCTTGGAGATTACATTCGTAGATGAGGAAACACACCCAGCAAACTGTTACTTTTTCTCCTGGGTCACGTAGAATCCAGATGTCCTAACTCCCTCCTGGACTCTTTCTAGATACCATATTAGTCCTGCTTCTTACTCTTCTTACGATTTGATGACACCTCCTCTACCAGTCCTTCCCATTTTAATTAAGTTGATTGGACCCAAACACAGAGTAGTATTGGGCCTGTGTTGGATAGAGGCGGTGTAGTGTAGTGGTCAGATGCTGCAGTGACCACTGGAACATCTTGGTCCCTGCTCTAACTCGAGGAACTGGTCCCATGCTTGTTGTGAACCTCAGTGAACAGAGATCGATTGACTAGAGTTTAGCGATTCTGGAAACTGTACATCAAAACCATTTGGAGTACTTGTTCAGAATGTGTATTTTTCCAGAGCTGAGATTATTCCACTGTAGCCAGTTGGTGAACCTGCATTTGTTCTAGGTCAGGGTTTCCCGGCCTCAGCACATCTGACATTTTAGGCGGATAATACTTTGTTGTGGGAACTATCCCTGTGCATTGTACGATATCAAACGGCATCTCTGGCCTCTACTTATTAGAAGACAATTGCACTCCCCCGCTTGTAACAGACAAAAATGTCTCCAGACCTTGCCACATGTTCTCCGGGAAGCAGAATTTCCCCTAATTGAGAACTGCTGGTCTAGATTATCTCCAAAGTAAACTTTGGAACCAGGTGGTTCTGGATTTGAATTCTGCTTGCTCTTTTTTTTGCCAGTGTGACCTTTGGCAAACTGCTTAACCTCTTTGAGCCTTCGTTTCCTTCCCTGTAAAATGGGCTGATAATCTCTGTGCGGGCTTGTTGTGAGGCTGTGATCCAAAGCACTTGGCCTAGTGCCCCCTGGCTGTAGCCTCCTAAGTGGTAGCCATTATTCTCTGGCTACACACCACATATTGATAGAACCTACCCTTCCTGAATTAAATGATCTTATATCCATACTAGATTTCATTTTGTTTTGACTTTTAACCTTTTCTGAGTTGTGTACCCAATGTCTGTACTAAGCAAATGTAGTAAGTCGGTGTCTTCTTTGTATGATAGATAATTATGGCAATAGTAGAGTCAGACTTCAGAAGTGATTTCCAGAGTCCTGGGTGGTTGGGGGAGGGTGTTAATTATGACATCTTTACTAAGAAAAGATCAAGTAAAACTAGGTCAGTATGAACTGAAATCCAAAAGGAGGCTTTAGCTAGACATATCAGGTAGCAGATAGTATACATTTGGGCAGTAAAACAACAACAACAAACAATTTTTTTTTTAAATGTGGGTGCTCATTAGCCTTGTTGTTGTCTTAAGTCCTTTAGCTTTCATTATCTTTTAAGTGTATTTTGTGTTAGATTTTTTTACATGGCCTGTAATCTTCATATCATTCCATAATGTTAAATCTTTCTTTCTTTTGCTCCTAAAAATTTTTTTGCGTTATTCCTTTTTATTTCCTTTTTAGGATATAGATTAAAGATGCTTTGATGGAGAAAGGAAAATACCACCTCCTGTGCTATTTATTTATCTATCTATCTATCTATTTTGAGCAGGGGAATATATTATTTCCCCTTGACCTGTAGTGCTTATTTAAAATGTTAATAGCTTTGATCTTTTTGTATCTACGATAGAGTCCCTGAATCAAGTTTTACTTTAAAATATTAAAAAGGCCTTTTCCAAATTAGCCTTTCAAAGACCTTCTGTAGCCTTTATCTCATTTTGTATTGTTGAGTCTTCAAGCTGTTCTGTTTTTGTATCAGCTTGTAATATAATGATCATCTGTTATGTACTAATTTTGGGAGTAGCCTATTATTCAGACTTGTTTATGACCTTAAAATTTAATTTAATTTTTCCTATGAAAGGATAATATGATTGCCAAATGACTTTTAACAGTATAAGCTGTAAATTATAATGTCCTCTGTCTTGCTCTTTTGATGCTAATCAGATTGCAGAAATAAGCATTAATGCCTCTTTTTTGTGGAAAAATTAATGGAACTTTACATACTAAAAATACTTAGGTTTTTTTCCATAAAGTTGGTGAATAAAAGATAATAAGTTTGTGCTTGTTTACCAAGCTATTTCTAATGTTGAAAAAGAAATGAAATAACCCCCTAACTACCCCATCTATCATTTTAATTAGAAATGTGTTAATGTTCTGTAAAGAAAAATCTGTGTTTTTATGCCTAGGTGATCAAAAATGTATGACCTTATAATATAATACTCATGTAAAACACACATCCGGCATGTTGCTGTGACTAGGCTAGAACCTAGCCAAATGATTAATTCATGAGTACTTTCTGTTGCGATCTGCGTTATCCAACGTTTGCTATTTTCCTTGTCCTTGTTGGTGTTTGTTGTAGGTACCAGCAGACAGGTGTCAGGTGGCTGTGGGAATTGCACTGCCAGCAGGCAGGAGGAATTCTGGGAGACGAAATGGGATTGGGCAAGACCATCCAGATAATCGCCTTCTTGGCAGGTCTGAGCTACAGCAAGATCAGGACTCGTGGTTCAAATTACAGGCAAGTGCTCCTCTGCAGACTGTCAGTCTGTGGAGCTCAATTAATATTTCATCAGATGTATTGCTGTGGAGGAGGGACTTGTGAATTATTGATGACATTTCAATTACAATATTCCTTTAATTCTTTTAGTGGGGGACATCAAAGGAAAATTTTTACGAGACAATAGAGCTGTAGGGCAGGAGAAATTAAACATGTAACACTTTTAATGAATTCCAGGCATTGATGCTTCATTTTGCAGATGAGCCCCACTAGATATTTTGGGTCAATACGATGTCTAAGGTTAGCTTCCACAAATGGATTGTTTACAAACTCAATTATGTTAATATCAATAGTTTACACAATATGGAATTTTAAATTAGACATAATAACTTTAGTTCCATTTATTAAATTTTACATTAAAATATTTGTTCTGGCAGGAGACCAGGTGAGCATTACAGTAAGTACAAAGTCTATTCATGGGGAAAGTCGGAGAAGCCAACCTTGGAGAAGCTTTGGAGAAGCCATTCTCCAGAGTTTCTTTGATAATCAGTATGTATTATAGCATTTGTAGATAACTATTTTTTCCTTTTTCTTTTTTAAATGAAGTTCCTTTCTAAAATAGTCTGCTCACTATGATTTTTACTCCCCTCCCCAGTCTTTGAGAATTTTATATAAATTCTAAGGCCAAAGCCTAACTGGCTATCCAAGAAAAGAAAACTATGTTTAGATTTTAATCTTTATTTTCTTTAAAAACCAGTTAAAAGCCCATTGCCATCGAGTCGATTCCAACTCATAGCAACCCTGTAGGACAGAGTAGAACTGCCCCATAGGGTTTCCAAGGAGCAGCTGGTGGATGTGAACTGCCGACCTTTTGGTTAGCAGCCATAGTTCTTAACCACTGCACCACCAGGGCCCCTTATTTTCTTTAGAAATTTAAATAAACTATTAGGGCCTTCATATTCTGAAATAATAAGCATTTAATCTGTGTTAAGTATGGTAGGACTGAAATACTTTTATCTTGAGGTACTGTGAGAATCTCCATATTTAAAGGTGTAAATTACTTTCTGTAAATCAGTTTAGGTAAAAATGTTACTGGATAAAGTCTGTAGAATATTTATTCTTGAACCCAGATAATCCAAGAGCTTCTTGGGTTTCAGTAGGCTTATCTAGTAAATAACAGCAAGCTATTTATTCATCAGATTGTTATGTTGTAGAAGCCTTAGCCACTCACTAGACCTAATTTGGAGACACCTTTTAAATAGTGTCGACGTGCCTGAAGTCGAGGCAGCAGGTCGCAGTCCTGCTCTTTGGTCCATTAGCAGAGAGCCAAATGCAAACTCACGGACGCTGTTTTAGTCTTCAGAGTTCAGTGCTTTGTGTTTATTCCTTACTTGTTCATTAATTTAGCAGATCGACACTTTTGTGAGAGGAGTTGATGTTGTAGAATATTTTAGACATTCCAGTTGCATTTATATAGATGTAAGGGGAAAAAGCATTTGGATAATTTTAAATGCTAAATGTTTTGTTGTTGTTACTTACAGAGGAGTTGTATAGAAGCAGGGGATTTTCTTCACATATTAGAATTCTGTTGTATTTTGCCTGGAAACATTCCACCCCAAAGGAAAAGTCAAAGTTGAAAGTGGGCATTTAGTGTTTTCCTAGCTGTGGCTGTCATTAGTTTAGCATTTTAAAAATACTTGCTCTGTTCTCAATAAGTCTTTGGTTGGTTCGGTGTCTGACTCTGCCGGGTTTTTGTTTGCTTTTGGTAACTGAAATGCCCCAGGCCACCTCCGATGGTTTCTAGGACTGTCTTTCTTTCCTTTAATGATTCTGGGATTTTCTTATTTCCCATCTCTTTTCTTCCCTTCCCTTCCTGTTATCATGAAGCTTGTGTGGAGTGTAATACTCTGGGCCTAGGAAACCTAAAGTCATCCCAACAGTGTAGTTTTGATCTAAAAATTAAAACGTGCTCTCTCAAGTAGTGACAGTCCTACTAGGAGTGAAGGCAGGGCTAATAATGAGCAGCAGCTGTAATCAATTAACTATCAGTGCTCATTTCCTCTTTTCCATAATGAAATAGTGTGGCATGTTGGATTATAGCCCAGATCATCTTTATTAAAATAGTATTGGTAGAAATGGCTTCCCAGGATGTGATTCTACCTCCAACAAACAACTGGGCTGTTTCTGAATGGGGGTACACTCAGGGGCTTAGGGCCTCTCCTTAAATGTCCAGAGTGAATTTTATAACATGTTTATAACTATCTTATGACATGTCCTCTTGTACACTAGATGATTTTAGAGTTCTCCTTTATGTTTCTGTCCTAAGAAAAGTTGTCAGCCCTTGATATCGAATGAAGTTCTGTGTAAGCTAGCATTGCTTCATTGGCTATGTATATTTTCCCTGAAGTCTTGCAAGTTGTAGATGTTTGGGGCCCAGTTTGAGATGGTCTTAGGTTACAGTTTTAAGGATCATGAACATTGAAACAGTGTAAGTCTTTAAGGTAGTAAGTCTGGTGGAAGAAGAAGTGTTTTATGTGTTTTGTAGGTGTGTTTGTTTTAAAAGGAGGCAAAAGCATCTTAAAAACCAAACCAGTTGCCGTCAAGTTAATTCTGACTTATGACAACCCCACGTGTGTCAGAGTAGAACTGTGCTCTGTAGGGTTTTCAATGGCTGATGTTTTGGAAGTAGATCGACAGACCTTTCTTCCAGGGTAAGTGAGTGGTTGGACTCGAACCACCAATCTTTTCGGTTAGCAGCAAAGTGCTTAGCCATTTGCACCAACCAGGGACTCCCAGAAGCATATTATATAGGTTAATAAAAACCTATGCTGGCTTTGTGTTCGCAGTTCCTGATTTATATGCTACCTTCTTTTTACTTTGTCATTCATACTAGATTGATGTTGTGCTGTCAGTTGATTTCAGCTCATAGTGACCTTATATGACAAAGTAGAAATGCCCGTAGGGCTTCCTAGACTGTAATCTTTATGGGAGCAGATCGTCAGGTCTTTTCTCCCCCGAAGCAGGGTTCGAACCACTGACCCTATGAGTAGCGGTCAAGTGCTTAACCACTGCACCACCAGGGCTCCTTTATTATATTGATAGGCCCCCTGAATCTTATGATGGAGAGGACATAAATTATTTACCTTTCAAACTTCAGTTAGTGCTTTAACGTCTTGGATGCCATTTAGTAAATTCCTAATTATGAATAAGTAGCCTGAAAAAGTTCATAAACTTTCAAAGGTAAATATTTTACTTTGTAATTCCCGCTAAATTCTAGACTATAAGTAGCAGATTTCCATCCTGCTGGTTGAAATATTTGACCATGGAGATATTGGCTTGTCCTGAATTCATTAGGTAATCAATGATAATCGAAGATGAAAGGAATTGTAGCCAGTTTAGTAACTGATGCTAATCACTCTAGTGCATTTAGCCATTGCTTACGCTATTTCACTGGTTTTGAGGGTTGAAAAAGGGTATTTCAGCTTAGGAAACTGTTAATGGACCTTATTGCCCGTGCTGTGGCCTGAGAGCAATCTAGGTCTGCTCCTAGAATTCAACGCCCTATAAAAATCCCCGTATTCTTATATTAGTGTGAGAACAGCATAAATTAAAGGACATAATAATGCCCATAGATATTTAGCCTGAATAAAACATTGACCTTAAATGACAAATTATGAATCATCACCGTGGCAGTTTGCAGAAGGTATGTTAAAAAGAAAAAATGATGTATAACCTGAAAAAACCTATTTATATTCATGCTTATCTGAGTGTGTTTTTGCATTTTCTAGACAGTCTTTCATTGGTTGTTTCCTTATCCCTGCTAAGCACATGCTGAAGGTAACTCTCTTTTATTCCCCTTGGAGGGCATAGGGAAGCTAGTCCATTTAATCCTTTTTAGAAGGGAGTGTTATATAAGGGGGCAGGGCTGAGTCACTGCTCTTCCCAGGAAACTTTGAGGTGGTACCTGCACAGGACCACTTGAGTGTATTCCCCGCCCCTTGGTGAGAATGATGGCTTGGAATTTCTGCAGGAAGATGTAACAGTCTGCTGTAGCCTCTGGCTTTTTGTCCTCTGGACCCTTCCCACTAAGCAAAGTGAGTGGCTGTGACCGTAGGTGAGAGGTAGAGAGGATGTAGAAGTGGATGGAGGCATTGTCTCACACTGGAGTCACCAAGGGCATGGGGTAGCATCCTTTTGGACATAGTACAAGGGTAAACCTTATTTAAGATATGATATGGCTTGACTAAAATTTCACTCTTTTTCTATTAGAATTACAGATTATTTTTCAGGTATGCAGAAGATCATTTTTAATATTTCAGGCACTGTGGATTAGGCATTGAGATAAAAGAAGAGACTGTCTCTGCCTTCATGGAGCTCAGAAGGGATAGAAGCAAACAGTTAGAACAAGGGTGCTAAGTGATATGACAGGGCTGGTGTAGGGTACTCCCTAGCATGGAGGCACCAGGAAGGGTCCTTAGCCCACCTGAAGAGAAAAAGACAGTGAAGGCTTTGTGGAGGAAGTGACATCCCCGCTGAGATCTGAAGGGTGAATAGAAGTTAGTTAGGATAAGAGGCTAAGTAGGAACAAGGCAAAAGAGGAGAAGCCAGAGAAGTACCCATCTTCTAGGGACTGAAGAAAGTTCAAGTTAGTAGTGGGAGGCTGAATCGTGGGTGCGCGTGGTGGGGTTAGGGAAGTGTCTTAGTCATCTAGTGCTGCTGTGACAGAAGTACCACAAGTAGATGGCTTTAACAAACAGAAATTTATTTTCTCACAGTTTAAGAGGCTAGAAGTCCAAATTCAGAGTGCCGGCTCTAGAGGAAGGCTTTCTATTTCTGTTGGCTCTGGAAGAAGGTCCTTGTCTCTTCTGAGCTTCTGCTCCTGGGCAGTCTTCATGTGGCTTGGCGCCTCTCTTCCCCCATCTCCGCTTCTTTCGATTGCTTGTTTGATCTTTTATTTCTCAAAAGAGATTGATTTAAGACACACCCTACACTAATCTCGTCCATTAACATAACAAAGGCAACCTATTCCCAAATGGAATTATAACCGCAGGCATAGAGGTTAGGATTTACAGCACATAATTTGGCGGGGACACAATTCAATCCATAACCAAAAGTGAGAGAGATGAGGCTAGAGGGTGAGCAGAGATCAGATGCTCATGGTCTCCTAGTTCAGGTTAAGGGGGTTAGACTCTGTCCCAAGAGCAGTGGGTGACCATTGAAGGCTTTTAGGCAAAGGGATGAGTCATTCAGATTTTTTTTTAGTAATCATGCTGGAAGTTCCAGTAATCCAGGTGAGAGATGATAGTAGCCTGAACTGGAGTAGTGACAGTGTAGGAGGAGAGACATGGGTGACTTTGAGAGGGACCTAGGGGATAGAAGTGGCATGAATTAGGTATCGGTTACATGTGGTAGAGATCAAGAGGGAGTGGTAAGGATGAGGCCCAGATTTCCAATTTGAGCACATGGAGAATGGGTGACGATTCTGTTCATTGAACTAGAAGCACAGAGGGCAAGGGGTGGAGAGGGTGATGTGTGTTGCCTTTTAGCTGGCAGTTAGATATAGAGGCGTGTAGTTAGTTGGGAGTTCAGGAAAGAGATCTGGGCTGGAGACAGATTTAGCCATTATTGGATACACAGGACTGGTCAGCGTTTCGTTCTGTTATACACAAGGTCGCCACGAGTCAGAGTTGACTCCATGGCACCTAACAACTACAACAGTGTATAGACGGTAGTTGAAACTTTGGGAGTTAATGAGATAATACAGGGAAAGTGTGCACAGTGTAGGAATACCCGCACATTTCACGTATCAGGATACTTGTAGGCCAGAAAAGGTAGAGGAAGGGGAGCATAACAGTTTAAGCAGTGCTGGTGGCCACTCCTGAAGGAGGGAGAGACAGGCTGTGTGAGCCGTGGCTGCCTCAGTCAGCCTTGGTTCCCAGTGGCCTCTTGTAGCATGAGCTGAGTGAATCAGCTCACAGCCACCACCGATGGTTTTGACTTTGCCTTAATTTTCGTCTGTGCACTGACTAGCATCCAACTCTCAGCAAGCTTGAAGGCTACAGGGCATGGGAACATTGATGTGGTGGAGATGTGGGCTCATGAGCCTAGGTGATGGGGTTGGTCTCAGACAAGAACACGGACTTGTTGCATTATAACAGGAGGGAAGGATGAGTGCAGACTTAGACAGGTCCCTGTGGTGTGTAATGTATTAGGATACTTTGGCTGCAGGTGAATAAAACCTGGCCTCAGATTGAGTTAAATGAAATTTATGATACACCTGGAAACCTACAGAAAGGGTGGGCTGTAGAGGCAACATGATCAGCAGCTCAGTGATACCATCAAGGGTCCAGGTGTTTGATTTCCTCCTGAGGCCAGTTCTCCTTATGAATCTCCCCCAGCCGGAATGTAAGTCCTCCCTCTCAGGTTTGTTAATGAGTGATCGTTGCCAGGAGAGGGCCTGTCACGGGGAGGAGAAGTAGGGTGCTGCACAAATGTGTGACTCGTAGGAAAGAGAGAGGGGACATGGATGTTGAGATAGTGGCTGTGAAAGTCTACGGTCTGCCTCTGTGTCCGTGAATTGGGGTGATTCCATAAATCTCTATTGTTGTTTTAACTTATGAGCAGTTCTCCATGTCATTAAATATTCTTCAGAAACAATTTTTAATGGTTATGTGATATTCCATCTTAGTTAACAAACCCTTACATGGTATTTACTATATACCAGGCACTGTTCTAAGCGCTATAGGTATTAAACGATTTAATCTTCATAATAATCCTATAATAGGTACTGTTATTATTCTCTTTTTAGGATGAGAAGGAAGGTTCAGCGAGGTTAAATAATGTGCCTGAGATCACACAGCTAGTGTGTACAGAAGCTGGGATCTGTCCAGGGCAGTGCTTCTAACCACTAGCCTGTGCTATCTTAAAGCATTGGCATGGTTTATTCAGCCCTCTGTTTTTATGGGCATGGAGGTAGTGTCCACTTTTCCTGCAGTATAAATAATGCAATGTGTATTCTGGTATGTAAGTCTTTGCGTTGGGCTTTCTGGGTCACCCTGTGATGTTTTTGAGGCTCTTGCACTGTATGGCTAAGCTGCTCTACACAGGAGTAGGGCCAGTGAGTACTCTCAGTATGGGCTTTCCCGCAGAAATCAGCATTGTGATGTCCCTCCCCTGGGCTTGAACGTGTGGAGGAGCAGCAACAGCACAGTGTAGCTGGAGGACGGGCTGCAGCGGGGACAGGACTGCGCTCTGGTCATTGCTCGCCACCTGTAGCCACAGCATCTTGGGTATGCTGCCCTCCAGAGCCCCACACACAGGAAGTAGTCCTAGCCTGCCACTTCCCAGGGCTGTGAAGGCTGAAATTCTGTGTGTGAATCTCGGGGTAGACCGTAAAGCTTCAAACACATTTAAGGTACTCTGACGTTCACTTAGGTTGCGATACACTGTATGATAACTTCACTAATCTGGACTAGAAGGGGAGAGAAAACTATTTTGTTAAGTAATTTGGTTTGATTTCCTTTATCCTAGATGTTATCTTTTAATGCCCTGCAGTTTTCTCTGAATACCTGCATCCATAATTGATGGATGGGATTGTAGAGAGTTCACTTAGTGTGCTTTAACCTCAAAAGGTTTTTCTTTAAAGGAAATACCAGTAAATTTCCATAGCTAGATTTTCTTTTTTGAACTGTTAAGATTTGGCGGGGGTGGAGGGGGCATGATCACTCAGCATACTACTGTCTTTCATGGTTGTATTTTCTTCTTGAACATTTTGGGCGCAGGTTCGAGGGGTTAGGTCCAACTATAATTGTCTGTCCAACGACAGTGATGCATCAGTGGGTGAGAGAATTTCACACGTGGTGGCCTCCATTCAGAGTGGCAATACTGCATGATACCGGTTCCTATACCCACAAGAAGGTAATAATGTTTATAATGCTGCAGTACCTTTTTGTTGTTTTGTTTTAAAGCCCTCCATTTTATAATTTAGTTTTTCTTTGATCCATGTCTTTTGCAAATGTATGTTCCTGTGTTTCTTTTTTAAAATCATTCTGTTGTTATTGGCTAAATTTAGAATTCTGTATTTTCAAAACAATTATAAATATAGGCTTTATTGTTCTAACAGCCATTTGTGGTGTTGTGACATGTTTGTTGTCCAGAGTAACAAAACTGGGCACAGACGAGGTGCCACCACCTAACAGTATAAATAGAAGTAGAAATCAGGTGGCTTAAGTAACAGTTACTGGCTGGACTTAGGGCATTAACAACTTTAAACAGCTTTAGGAATGTGAATACAAAAAGTAAAGTAAGTTTAATTAGTAAATGCGTTTGTTAATATGCTTTTAGAACATGCTTTTATTGAACAAAAGATGCAGCATGCCATTTTGAGAACGTTATAATTTGTATTGTTGCTTTTTATTTAAGTTGCTTTTTGTTCTCTGAATCCTTGATTATCATATAACAACGATCAGCATATTTTGAAAGGTGTATTTCCTCCCTTATTTATAGTTTTGTTACCAAAAAGGAGGTTTATCTATGCCTCTATGGGCAGAACTTACAATGTTGCATTATGGTTTTTTTATTGTCATTTCTGTCTCACCATCTAGACTGTGAGCTCTGTCTGAGTAGGGACTGTATCTTACTCGTTTCAGTATTCCTAGTGCCCCGTAAGCATTTGCTGAGCAAATACTAATTACACATTTCTATGGATTGAATTGTGGCCCCCCAAAATATGTATCAACTTGGCTAGGCCATGATTCCCAGTATTGTGTGGTTGTCTACCATTTTGTGATCTGATGTGGTTATCCTATATGCTGTAAATCCTACCTCTGTGATGTTAATGAGCCAGGATTAGAGGCAGTTACGTTAACGACACAGGATGCAATCTACAGGGTTAAGTTGTGTCTTGAGTCAGTCTCTTTTGAGATTTAAAAGAGGGAAGCAAGCAGAGAGGAGTGGTACCTCCTACCACCAAGAAAGAAGAGCCAGGAGCAGAGCACGTCCTTTGGACCTGGGGTCCCTGTGCTAAGAAGCTCCTAGACCGGGGGAAGATTCATGGCAAGGACCTTCCTCCAGAGCCGACAGAGAGTAAAGGCCTTCCCCTGGAGCTGGTGCCCTGAATTTGGACTTCTAGCCTCATAGACTGTGGGAGAATAAATTTCTGTTTGTTAAAGCCAGCACTAGATAACTAAGACACACACTTTCACTGTGGATGTGCAGGTTACTTTATCAATAAAGAGTATGCATTTGTTTTGAGTTCTTTCTTTTCTGAGTCTGCTGAACTCCTGAGTGAGCTCTTGTGGACCCTCATGAAAAGAGTGCTGGCTGCAAAGAGCTGTTGAATGTTTGCCTCATTGAGATGGACACACGAGGCACTGAACTCCCGCTGTAGTGTTGCTGATACGCCTTTTCCTACAAATTCTTATTTTGTGATCACTGGCTAAGCAGAACTTTGATAGAAGTGCATTAGAAGTATCTATAATTTGGTAGCTCATGTTAGGTGAGATGGAATCTTGCTTATATGAGCTGTTGTTAAAACCAAGTGACTCTGTCCTGAATTTTAAGTGAAGAATGGAAAACAGACTGAGTTAAGTAATTAGTGAGGTAGGGTAAATGCTGTGATAAGAAACCAAAGCATCAGGAAAATAACAGAAGAGTTTTGATTATTTTTCTAGTTAAACTCTAAATTATTGTAACTTTCCAGCTCTCCTGTCATCACCCTTACTTAAAACAATTTAATTCCTTTTTTTGTTTCTATTGTCTAGTAACATCTCTGAGTGTTTTGTATTACAAAATCCTTTAGCAGGATTCAGTAGTTTATGTTTGCCTGAAAAAGGCAAAATTGTCATACGTTCCTTTTCATTTTTTAATTTTCTTTCGTATTAGTGAAGTATGTATTTCACACCTTTACCTAGATCCTGGCTTACTTTCATTCACTCTGTTACTAAAACATGAAGAACTACCTTCAGGTAAATGGGCTCTGAAGTCAGTTGACTCATTAATGGAAATAGAATTGACAGTGAAGCTGTTGATGAGACTTGGCTTCCTTGGCTTGTTTGCAGGGCAAAACCTTAAATAATAGAGATTTCACTTTTGGTTATGATTGTTCCACCTTCTGAGATTGTTTTGCGTTTACAGACACATGCATATATATGATTGTTGCTTCTGTTTTTTTACAGTTTACCAAGGACTTTAACTTGAAGTTTCTTAAGTTTTCAGGAAAAGTCATATTCTTGCACAAAGGAACTATTAACACACTCTCAATGTGTCATCATCACAGATGATAAATTTGCCAGGTTTCCTTTGCATAGGCCTTGTTAGTGACACTTCTAAGAGTACAACTTTGGCTTCTGGACAAAATCACCAAAATGGCATTGGATCCTCTGCTTCTTCCTTTCTTACTTGTATGTACAGATTTTTGTGCACCACCCCACGCCCACTTGCTGGTTTACATATGTGTGTGACATTTGTGTAGAGTTTACGTTTTTCATTTATGTTTCAAATACTCTCTCAAGGCCATTCTGTGCTGACCTGTAATCTAATGCCTGGCTTCCTTCTCATCCTTATCAGCTGAGATTCCCCTTTTCCATGAGGGAGCTTTCTGTGCCCACTGACTGTCCTGTCTGAATTTAAAACTGAAGCTCAGACATAGGCCATTCCGTGCTAGAGAAAGTAGGGAAGAGAAGGAAATGTCTCTTTAGAAATACTTAAGAGACTAATGCCAGAATCGTTTTGTTTATCAGTCAAGTAGATTATCTTTATTTTCCTAATGAATTGTCGTGACTAGTATGACATAACATTTTGAAAAATTTTTAAAGAGCAGATACCAAATGATCAAAGAATTTCTAAATAGAGCACATTTATCATGTTTTTTCCCCAAATTGCCTTTGAGCCTTTCATCTCTCTTACCATTTGATCCCTTATTATCTTTGTTAATTTTTTTTTGATTGGCAGCATAATTTAGAATTATGAACACCCAGCAATCGTGAAAAATTGTCCAGCTAATATTTTCAACCAGTCAAGTCAGATAAAGAAATTTTCAGGCTTCTGAATCTTCTTTAATGGTTAATTGAAATCTCATTTATTAGGATGTAAGATTTTTCTCATTTTTTATGATCTCTTTTCTCTAACATGGAGGAAATTATTGTATGAGTCAATTAATATTTGTTTATTCAACAAATATTTGTTGTTGAATAACTATAAACACCGTATTCCAGGTGTTTGATGCCATTAGTGTTAAAAAAAAATGGATATGATGTTGTTAACTGGCCTTGAAAAGCTAGTGGTATTTCAATGAAAAGATAATAGGAGATGGCAGTTTGTGATACTTAGGAGTTCACAGTGGGTGGTAGCATTTTTAGCACTTCATGTTTAAAGTTTAATGATCAAGGACCCTTTTTCAGTTTATTGGAAGATGTGTAATTAGAAATTTCTTACTTATACATTATCACTGTCTCTCTCCCTGATTGTTTTCTGCTATGTAGAATCTAGAAATTCTGTGGAATATTTTTGGTAATTCATTTTTTTGTCTCATTCTGGTCATGCCAAGTAGAGTCATAAGAGTAGGAGAAGCAATTATGGCATCAGATTTTAAGAGAATAGGTTTTGTAGTTACCAGACCAAGGTTTGATTCTTGGTTCTGCCATTTAATAGCTTTGTGACATTGGGCAAGTCCCTTAGCTTCCCTGAACCCAGTTTCATCACCTGTAAAATGGGAATAACGATACTGGGGTTCTTGTGAGAGTTTATTGAGTTAGTATGCCTGTATGAAGAGCTTAGTGTGGTCCCAGCATGTAATATTTACTCCAGTAGTTCTCACTGTTGTTAGAAACAAAGAATATTGTGGACCTCTTCATCTTAGTAGTTGAGGAGAGATGCTGAAAGAGGCGGTTTTGACTGATTCAATATAAGTCTATTCAAGAGAGAAGATTCAACCTGCTTTACCAAAAATGTTCATGAATGATAGCTTCAGTCAGCATGTAGACCTTTTTTTCTCATGTCTAGATACATTTGGCCCCACGTGGAAACAGTGAAATAAAATATTAAAATTCTTTTTGGGAAGTGTAATGTGTGGTTAAAAAACAAACCACACAAAAATGGGACCATCCGATGATGTAAGTGACGTCATAATGCTCTTTAAAAAGGCCTATTTTTTGAAACACTAGTGCAAGAAGGCTTGGCTTTTTAAAAAACTGGGAGAGTCAAGTAAACAACATAAATAAAGATAGGAAAGGGCCACATGGTCCCACAAGCATCCTAAATATCTCAACCCCATTCCAAGTACACAAATTATAACACAAAATGATGTAATTCCTATGAACTTTAGAGTCGGGATATACACCTGATACAAGACATGATAGATGTTACGCTTGTTTTCTGAGGCATATTGTAAAATTTTGTTGCTAGAGTCCTTTTTTTTCTTCGTTGTCAGCACAAATCCTTGTTTATTAAAGATTTAGCTTGAAGGAAATTTTAATTAATTACAGGTGCAGTAACTCCTGCCCGGGAAGCTGCTGTGCTGTGTGTACTGTGAATGGCCTTCATGTGCCTGTGCTCCACTGCCACCCCCCTGCCTGACAGTGTGATTTATGGCTGCTGTTTCCCACCAGTCCACTGTTGGCCTCTAGGAAGGATTGGTCTCCTGAGCCTCCGTAATAACAGCGGCGCTTTCACAGACATCTTTTAATGACAGCAGCACTGCATTCAGTAAGTCAGGCTAATTGCAGATGTACCCTATTAATTGCAAAAACTAGGCGAGGTTACATATTTTACAAGCTTTTAATTTGAAACCGCCCGAGATGATTTGTCTTAAGTGTTTGGATAGAGACGTCCATAATATTCAACAATTCACGTTATTGAAACTCCAGTCTAGGCAGTTCTAGAATTCCGAGATCAAATCGGGTGAAAACGAATAGTCTGAG